ATTATTATTTATTATCTGTATATTTATTATGTATTTTTTTTTGTAAAATAAATTATGATTTGTTGAATTGCTCAACACCACAATTCATTTTTTAATTTCTCTGACATTAACTACTTGTTAGCTTTGTTTGGACAGGTGATATATTTGAATTCATTTTTTACAAATGGGTGAATATTGTTATAAAGATATTCTTGATGTTTAAGCCTCATAGAAGTTGGTGATGATAATATGGGAAGTGATAAGGTTCTAATATCTTTTATGACATTAAAATTCCTGCCCTCTTAGTCTTAATTCATGAAATGGGTGTCTGAGCTTTTACAAAACCAGGATCAGAAGGTTCGAATATTAAAATTTTTGAATAACACCTAACTTCTTAAAGTATGCTTCTAAGCTAATTCAATAACAAAATAAAATCTTTTTCCATCTTATAATATTGAGTTTTATTCGGTCCAGTCAACAGTACTGGATTTTTTTGCAATATTATCATTTCGTAGTTTTATGCTTTTTGTCATTGGTAAAAAATTTGTTACTAAAATAATCAAAAACTCGAAATTTAATAATATTTTTTATAAATCACGATTTTGCAGACCACTGAATAATTAAAACAATGATAAACTATATTGGTTGGAAATGTTTTTAGGTATCGTTTCAATGAATCTATGAAAATTGTATTTATACCAAAATTACTAATCACGTTTCAACGAATTTTATATCTGATATGTTTTATAAAAATTTTCGTTGATACGAGATTTGATTGCATACAAATAGTGCTTTGAGTCGATTTAATTCTATAAATGATTTGGTTCAAATATATACCATATGAAATAACTTGAATTCTGCACAATTTAAAAGGGTAGCATTTGGAAATAAAATGGTTTCAAAAGTCAAAAGAAATATTTGGCTTTTCCACCTACAACTGTGAAATGGTTTCATGCTTCATTTCTTGTTCTTCTTTGAACACATTGCACTGTGCCTATCGAAGGAATGATTGAAGAGGCATAATTTCAACTTGTTTGTTATCATTATTAATATTAATATAGAGTTTCTATTCGTAATATAAATTATTATTCGTTTTATTCTCTTTTTCAGACTACTAGTTTATTAGTTTATTGAATTATTCATTTTTATTTTATTTGTTTTATTCATTCATTTATTTGTTATATTCGTTTATTTATTCGTTTTATCCAAAATTTAAATCTTATTATTATTATATAAAAATTCAAATAATACATTTTGTTAGCCCATAAAAATTTATAATATTTTCATGACTTTGGAC